AGGGGTTGCGTAAATGGATTGCCCAGTATGGGCCAATGCCCGCTGCAAGTTTCCTTCATTCTTATGTTCTAAGTTATGCTTCTGCTGCTGTGGTTCTGCTGTTACATGTCTAACCACAATTACCTGTCCTAAAACAATTTACCTGCCGAAGATTTGGATGGTGTTAATACGTGATGGAATCATGGTTTGATGGGTGTTAACATGTGATGGTGTTAATATGTGATGGAATCATGATGTGATGGTGTTAACATGTGATGGAATCATGGTGATGGGAATCATGGTGTGATGGTGTTAACATGTGATGGAACTATGTGATGGAAAGTTAATATGTGATGGAACTATGGTGTGATGATGATAACATGTGATGGAACTATGGTGTGATGGTGTTAACATGTGATGAAGTTTTAACGATGAATCATGGTGGGATGGTGTTAACATGTGATGGTTTTTACATGTGATGCAATCATGGTGATAGTCACCTAACCTAACCTTTTAGTGTTGTGCCTTTTAATTAACTTGTGAACGATGCACTAAGTTATAACGGTGTTTTCCTCTGCCATTAGGTCAGAACAACTTGAGAATTTCCGGACAAATTCCAGCAGACCTGACCTCCCCAAGGTAAGGTTAGGTTACTACATTAGCTTGAGGTTTGCTGAGTGTTAGATGAAGTTAGTGTTAAAGTTTCTGGTTAGGGTTAGCGTTAGGTAAAAGTTTGGGTTAGAAGAAGTGCTGATTGACTGTGCTGGTTTAGTGTGAGGTTAGGCCAGGTTTAATAAGTGTTAGGTTAGGTTAGGTTTTCTTGGATTAGATTATGTTACGTTTGTATTCGGTTGGGGTTTAGGTTACGTTGATGTTTTCAACAGATTAGGAGCAGGTTAGTGAAGTGGGTTTAATCATCAGGTGAAATAAGGGAGCAGGTTACACCGCGACCTGCTGTCAACTATTATCAATTATTAGCTGTAAAACTGCTAGAAGGACGGAGTCGTAATTGCTGGCAGTAGAGCGGCACTAATAACAGTCTCAAGCACCGTACAGGACCAAGTATAGACCCTGTGTCACGCGGCTTGGGGTGAAGACACGACACGACACGCTCACATTCATAGTACATCTCGTAGCTGTCATCTGTCAACGCATAACACGAGGTGGCTGGAAAGAGAGAGTTAAGCAGGAAGACGCTGGTAGTCTTCCCAATAATACGTTGCGCAGGTTATACTGCCAAGACTGGGGGTCACTAATTCTAAGGGGGGGAATACTTAACTCTAATCTTAATTTCTAAGGGTCGCTGCCACCAGACCCCTCTGGACAGCATGTAGCTCGTTAGGTAGCGTAAAAGTGGACTAGGTATTGGGTTAGGTCAAATACCAGATCGATAAGGGAAAGAAGGGTGAAACCATAACAGGTCTTACTCAATTTATTTTTTATAAAGCATACTGGTAAAAAACATACAAATAAATTGGTCTTCCTCGGAAGAACAACGAAAAATGTTGGTTACCCAGATGGGCACCACAGACGTCTTACATTAATGGCGTGTTATCCACATACTTATTGCATAACAATTCCGTGACCACCTTACCTCGGTCATTCCTCTACACTATCCCTTAACACATCAGGACTGCTCCACCTGGATGGAATATAGCACCGTCGGTTATCATACATAGTAGCAATTCATCTCAACACGGAGTTGTTACACTCTGCAGGTATAAGGGAAGCTTCCAGGACTTTTAGGTATACACAACAGGCAATCTGTTCGCACACTGCCCCGGTGGGTAAAGACGAGACGCAAGAGACATACCAGTACTATTTCTACGCCTGGTAGGTCGCTCCAAGTGACGACAGCAGAGTTTCTCACGGTCTCCTTATTTGTTACTACCATTTGGAGTGGTGGTGCCGAAATCCACAGGTTCACAGTGGATTGGCATAGCTGGGAGAGTCACTCACCTGTTGGGACTCTCATAGATAATGGCTGCCGGGCAGCAAGGCACCCTACCGCATGGAACCTGAGGTGACGGTAGAACGAAAGGGACTCAGAAATAATGCCTGACGGGCAGTTACCACACCCCCAACACACATTTACACGGCACATCAGGCAAAAGCTAAAACTGTACAACTTCTATATGTTTTAATTATAGGGGCGGATATAGCCAGATAGACACTGACCTGGAGGTGATGGTAGAAACCAAAGGGACTGAGTGCAGCGGCTCCCTGCCGCGCGCCACCAGTAGGCCTACAGTTTCCAATCTTGAATTTTTACTTTTATTTCTACGGTTCTCACCTGGAAAATTTTTCAAATATATGTCACTATGCCTTATAAACAATATTTTTAACCCTAAAGCACAAACTAAGGTAAGGTTCTGGCTTACACCTGTGGCAATTCATTGGGTTGAGAATATCAACACGGCACACTCGAGGCGGGTACACATGACGCCTAAAACAAAGGCCGAATGTTCATGGCGGGGGTGTATCAACTTCACTTAAAACTGTAATAGGGATCATCCTCTCACACATTGCAATTATCGGAACACAGACAGCAAGATTCTCTGATCACTGTACCTGTCGTGGGTATGTCACGTGAGGATACGAGGTGTATTAAATTCATACCGACGCATACAAGATATTTCTTTCAAGTATAAAGGCCGGGCTTCCAACACCTCACATAGTTCTGATATTTATCCTTTTTCCGACCATTGCGTTCTCATGTATTTTCATATGATATCTGTGGGAAGTTATGTTCGAGCAATACGTAACCGAACGAAGCACAACGA